TGGTTTTTTAGATTAATTTTTTAATCTACTATAATTATTTTATTTTTAATTCGCTGTTCCGCAAAAAATATTACGGAAATTTTACGATCCACGGACCCAAAAAGGTTGGGGAACACTGTTCTACACAACTCAACCTTGATGATATTCTTGAACGATTTTGCGAAGTTCTCCATTCGTCCCACGTTGTCTGCATTGAGGTTGGAGAGTACAACGGCCCCGTTCATGTTGAGCTGTTTCAATTTCAAAGGCTGTTCGGCGTTGATTGGCACGATTACAGCATCGTTAATAATATCGAAATTTTTCACGACAGCCTCGAGTTGGGTGACATTTATGTTGTCAGTGAAAGTCCAGACGCCTGAAAGAAATCAAGAAATATATGCTAAAGCTGTTGAAGGATGATATGAACATGATGCAGGCAATTAATCACTGATTGGTCCGACCGCATCATGTGAGGGTTCATCGAGGTTCGAGTCGACACTTTTTTTTAGACGAATCTATAGTTTATTACTTAGAACAATAACGCTGAATAACTCACTCTCTTCCGCGTTGATTGGCTGGTCCAACTTTTGACATTGGAGATCGAAATCTATACCAGAAATTCCGGTGATGTTCAACTCCTCGACTTCAATAGTTGTGCATGCGAGGAAGTTCGGTTTGAAGATTCCAGGTAAATGAATAGCTTGCTGAGAAATTTTGCCCCAAGGTTTGCTGTTCAATTTCGCCGCTGTGCTCGGTACATCAGGACTCAATGCCTATAAAAGTCGGGGTGGATCATGATGATTTTATTCGAGAGTCACTTTGAATGACTGAAAAAACTTCATGATTCAAAAACGAACTGCGTAATAAATTGCTTCTTGTTAGATCAATTGAATGCTCACCAGGTTCGAAACGATGACATTGATCTTCAGGTTTTCTGATGCATTTAGGTTTACTGCTGAATTCAAACTGGAATCCAGGGGAGCGCCGTTCAATTGTGAACAATAAAGATGACGCACTGCAAATTCTTCGGAGTCGATGATCGTCACACCTTTTACATGAGATGAAAAAAAATCCATAGCTTCATGCTAAAGCGGATGTATACCTTGTATCTCACGAAGATTCATTGAACATTTGTGAACAAAACGATGAAGAAAAAATATCTATCTATATACTGTATACGCAGCAAAAAAAGTTTAATTTTATCTCATCAGGAATTCTTTCAATTCACGGTCATAAAGGTGGGAATGTGAAACCTAAAAGTAATGTTCAAGCATTTACCCGAGTACCACGTGCATCTTTTTTCGTAAAATTAAAAAAAATGGAGCGCAAAGTCTTCTGCAAATTTCTGAAATTACGGCGCGAGTCCCATGGAAATTACTTTCACTTGAATTTTAAATAAAAATTTTGCGTTCAGAAAATTAAGAGGCAAGCATTTGAATTTAGACGCAAATAACAGGGAAATCCAGACGAGTTATCTTGTCAACTCAGAAGGGTATGTAAATCTTCTGAGAAATTGCAATTCACGCGCAATTCTCTCCTTAGATTTGGCAACTCTTTCAACGGTAAATCCTACAAATTATTATGCAGTATCAGCCATTCATTGACTAATAAAGATATTAATTGAATATGAATGGAAATGAACGATATCAATCTTTCCTTTTTATCAATAAACCCTATTTTTATTTATGGAAGTTTCAAAATATGAAAATAAAAGTGCGGTGCTTGATGAAATGTAGAATATATTTTAGTTTTAACCACTGTAATTCTTTTCTCACCTTTAGATCCATCCACCATTGTGCTTGACATGGTTTCACTACTTTTNGAAGTTTCAAAATATGAAAATAAAAGTGCGGTGCTTGATGAAATGTAGAATATATTTTAGTTTTAACCACTGTAATTCTTTTCTCACCTTTAGATCCATCCACCATTGTGCTTGACATGGTTTCACTACTTTTGGCAGCGAGAGCCTCCAGCGCTGAAATCGTGAACTCCTCAACTGAAGAGGAAGCCAATGTTCCCAGTTGGATTTCACCGGCCAAAGCAGTGGTTCCTTCGCTAGATACATTCATAGTCCCTGCAAAAACAGCAACAAAAAATAAAATAAAACTGGTCTCAACTGATGTTGTTTTAAATGTAGCAGCCTCACCAGTGATCGTGATTTTTTGATCGGCATTTTTGCTTGTGAGCAGATTCTTCATCGCCCTTCCGTTCAAGACTTCAATGTTCAAGGATCCATTCACCGTGACACGTTGTGAAAATGCCGTGGCTGGAAAATTTCACACTTTCAGTTAATCTTCGAAACGTAAAAAAAAATTGTTTCGTCCATTTATTGGTCGACGGTGAAATAAGGTGGAATAAGTAGCTCAATATGAAACTTATGAGTACTGTAGTTCATTTCCAAGTGCTGGCGAATAGTGATTAAATCCGGTGAAGGATTCCTTTCAAGTTAAGATCAGATGATTGCAAACTCAATCTTTCAATCTCGGGAACCATTTAGTATTCAAGTTAAAACTCAAGCACCCTTTTTTATAGCTTCTAAGGTGAATAATATAGCGTTTCAAAGTTTCGAGAATGTTACCAGAAATTATCTTGAATTTTGCCAGGAATACAATCCAATGCAGATCCCGAGTTCTCCGTTTCTTGTGTAGAAGGTAAAAATACGGTACTTCATTAAGAAAGTTTGCAGCGAAGTTAAAGTTTCTTTCTTAGCCGAGAAAGAAACTTTAACATACCGCCGACTTTAACATACCGCATACCGCCGATAGTTTTACGGTGACCCTCTGAATTCGAAAATATTTAGCTGAGCAAAATGTAGGCATCGGTAATATCACAAAATTGGCTCACAGAATTTGGAAATTCTATGAGAGTAGCGCAAATGCAAGATGGAGTATTCTCAATATTTTTCTTTTTTGAATCAGCGGAATTCCCCTGCAAACCCTTATACACTACTCATTACTGCTTTTCTTTAAATATTTCTATAATATGCAGATGCAGATTGACTATTTTTAGAACGAGAATCTTCGCTAAGACGGACTAATAAGATCCGGGGATTTACAGCGACTGTCCCAAGGATATAAAAGAGGCCCATTGACTATAGGCCAATAAGTACTGTATAGGAATTTCAGATGACAAATATGCGAGGGTAGCAGTTCAACATGCTGTGAATTAAGTGGTGTTTAAAGACATACGATTTATTCCTCAAAATATCTCGATATACAGCAAATATATCGACAAATGAAACATACATGCATATACGTTCCTTCGCTATAGAACGGAGTTCTTGAATATATAAACCATAGCACCCTCATTTTCTTTACCAAAGATGGGCGGACGATTGCACAGTTGTGACTTATAATTCGCTGTGAAACTCACTTGCTGCCGCTGACCTTTCACATAGTCTGTCGTTCCAGCAAACTTCATTCAGCGACTCGGGGATCATATAATTGTCGACTGATCTAGCGGAAAAGCTCTTCGAAACCTCAACCGGCTGCAGAAATTTTGAAATAAAAATTGGCTTCCATCAACTTATCGCATTTCATAAGCACAGCACCCCCTTTGTACATGCGCAAAATTAAAATTCCATTAATAGGCGAATATAAACACGCCTTACTTTCCTGGTGTTCTGACTTTCCAGGACCCTAAAATTTGTCACATGTTTTTCCGAGAAAATGATTAATGCTGTTAGGCAAGGCCATCTGTTACATGCACATTATTCCTCATCAGCATAATTCACTTCGATGCATCACTTGAATAATAGATAGTAAATAGTAAAGGCCAGATATTATTTATAATGATGAAGTATCTCCATTTTTTTATTGCTGAAGTGACTTGGAAATCGGAAAAAAGGGTTCTTATATTTCCGCAAATCGCAAATATCCTAATAGAAAAGCCCTCTTTTTTCAGTTTCAGAAACTCAAAAACTGGGATCTGAGGGGGTGTTTAGATTTGCGTAAATATGGTAGTCTGACCTGTGTAAACGTATACGACACGGTCAACGTCTGATCCTCGTGCAGCCTCACAGATTGTCCCAAGGTTTCCCTGACAATCTCTCGATTCAGAATATTTACATTCAAATTTTGCACCAAGAAACCTGGAGATGAAAAATAATGCCAATATTCAATACTGTACATCCGTTTCACGATAAAAACCAAAACCCACTTGAAAGGTTCCTGGGCCCGTCCATTTCTTGCTGCTCAGCGGAGTTTCTCAGGAATTTCGTTCGGATACGATCCACAGTTATTCCATTCAAGGTCCTATAGGCGAGTTTTTCGGCGACAAGATCAGGAAGAATCAAGCTGTTGGCAATTATTTGCTCCTCGCCCCGGAGTTTCATTCGGTCCCGGAGAAATCTGTCAAACTGAGGATTTTCTTTTTCGGAAAAGAAGACGTTACCATGAATTTCCACTTTTGACGCCTTCACTGGAGTCCTGAATTGAATTTCCGTGTCCTGTATATAGCACGTGGAGGAATTAAATAAACACATGATAAGTTTCCCGAAAACACTAAAATGAACCAAAAATTAGATGCCGTCATTCGAAATTCTAAAAGGATAGGAGAGTTTAAACCAGAGACTCGGTCAAGAGAAAATAGATGTCGCCGCTCGAGATTCGTATTTCATTGCTGATTGACCATAGCACTCAGTCAGAAGTCCAAGTTATTCGTCAGAGGACAATTCAGGAGAAAAAAAAAACCGACGAGAATTCGAAGTGTTTCATTGAATTGACCCAAGTTTAAAAAAAAAAATTTTACAAATTCGAGGATGATCCTTTCAATTCGTATTGCTCTACAAAAGCTTCTTCCACAGAAAACGTGAATTCCACCGAAAGTGGACATTGAACTAAATCATGAACTGAACGGAGCTGTAGATTTATTGAAGTCGAGTAACTTCGTTGAAAGCGTATTTGCAATGAACACGACGAAGTGGGCATTCGAAGAGATCTAATTTCACTGAAAATAAACTTTTCTTTTAAATACTTCTTACAAGGAAAAGCGAAGGACAAGAAGCTACAGCACAGCAGCCGGCTTTCTAAATAAAATGAAAATTGAAGCTGAACTTACATCTTTGAAAACAAACTCATTGATCTGAAATCCACACATTGCTCGGTTAATTTTCGCCGATTCCAAGTTCAGTTTTTCCCCAACGAAACGCAAATTCTAAATAAAATGAAAATTGAAGCTGAACTTACATCTTTGAAAACAAACTCATTGATCTGAAATCCACACATTGCTCGGTTAATTTTCGCCGATTCCAAGTTCAGTTTTTCCCCAACGAAACGCAAGTGTGGATTGACAGATTTCGTTGCAGATGCCGAGCACGGCACAGCTTCCCTGTCGAGGGCCGTGAAGTTGTACGTTGCCAATTTCTCCGTCAATACGTTTCCCAAAGTCACAGACGAATTAAATGTAATCGGACCTAGAAAAAATTTTTTTATACATCAACAGTACATGTTCAGAATTGCACGAATGTAATTTTCAATCTAATCACCAGTGAAGGACTGCGACTCGTTGTAACGCATGAGGTTGGTCAACACATGCCCTACGGGCAGTTCGACGTGCTTTGCTTCCAGCACCGAAACATTGAGATTTCCGAAATCATGGAGGCTCGCCTAGCAGATATTGAATGAATTGAAGAAGAACGAAAAAATCATAAGATGCACGAATAACTTTAAATCAATCGAACGACTCTGCTGCAGTCTCACCATACATCAGGATATAGAAAGAAAATGTTCATGCACATTTTAATAGATTAAAAAATGGTTACTGAGACTTATTAGGTAAAAGCTGAATTTCATTGCTTTTGGTCGATTTTTGTCTGCTATGATCATCTGAAAAATTAAAATCCATGAAAAAAGTTTCCAAAACGGAGGGAGAAAAGCTGATCCAAAAATTATTCATGTTCGCTCATTATTCATCGACTCTGCTGGAGCTGATCAAAGATTAAAATTTGAAATTTCAATTTTCTTATGTTGGAGAGAGCTAAAAATTGAAGTTGGAATGTGTGTTCATCGCTTTAGATGGGTGAAGTATAGTACAGTATTTATCAAGGGAAGGACAAATTCATATGCAATCCCAAATCAATTCTATGAATAAGGGGTAATACGACATGAAGCGTGCTTTCCAGGTGCAATGTAGAATGGGACATAAACGGGTGCTTTACAATATTCAACAAAATCCCATTGTAGTGCAATTTAATGAAGAATGGTGGAATGATCATCTCACCGTGTTCGTGGTAATGACGGTCCGTACTATTTTTTCTGCAGGTTCATGATTCACCATTTCAACCTTCAGCGACTGGTTCACCGTCAGCGTGACTGCGGGCCCAACTTCCAACGAATCAACTGTCCACGTGTCTATCTTTGGTGTCAAACCAGCCATCAACTGCTGCTCAGCAGGTTTATCATTAAGGCTCAGCATCTTTGAAAATGAACAAAATTTTATAAATGAGAGGGGGGTCGTTTATAAATATTAGGGCCGCCCACTGGAGATTCTTACTTGCAGGTTAGAAGTCCTGATCCCTTCAGGAAACACTGCTGTTCCTAAATTTCGCCGGGGAAGCGAGGAATCCAGAGGAATTATCCCGTCAGGAAATTTGACACCACAGATTGATTCTAGAACTGCGGTATCCACAGTAAGATTTCCGATAATGTATTTCAACTGTGGGCCTGCAAAGGAGTGGTCAAAGTTTTCGTTTGTTTTTTAAATATAGCGATTTCAGTACAGAGATTCAAACTGATTCCTCCAACGACGGCCCGAGAAAAAACTTAATCATATGCAAGCTTGCATTTTCCCTATGTAAATGGACTTTTAAAAAAGCCTCTAAATTTCTCTCAACCCAGTTAAATCAAATTTTTAAGCCGATTAAATCAAATGTATGGTCGAAACACACAAAAAAATATATCGAGGGTAACAGAAATTTGCTCAAGAACACCCATGAACTTTTTTTTTACTGCATTTTTTTTCAATTTCAGCGGTATTTTCTCAAACAGTAAGAGCGAAAATATTTAATGGAAAATTTGGCGAAAATAAATCAGGCTCAACTTTATGTTTGAGTATGCATGAGTTTCACATTAATATGACTTGATGGAAAATTGCATGCATCGAACCAAACAAAAAGCTAGGATACCCAGCAGAAGTTACTGAGCTAAATTTATGAAACGTGTTGAAATGCTCTCATCTCTATAAGGACGGACTCGTAATTTCACCTCTCATTCTCTCGCTTTAATTTTTGTGAAAATTAATATTTGAAGCATAATTCAAGATGGAGGAGAAGGAAGTCATGGTACACTGTACACGAAGGAAAGACGTGAATGATGCTGACGTTGCTTTTCAAACAGAAAATTGGTTGATCTTGATGTATTTCAGATTCTGGAGCACATTCTTTCAAATTTTGGCGCGCATCGTGTTGAATCGATGGCGTGTTTCACCGACAAACATGTACAGTTATACTGTACTGCTGTATGTTCTTCCAGCAGATAATCTGCAATATCACAGAGTATACGAGAGAAAATGCCTTGGATCCGACTTCATACCGGTACAGAATTTGAGAATACGAGTACCGTATATGAACTGAACCAGTTATAACATTAATCCTCAAGAACCCAACATGCAAGTACAGCAGTACACGATATTCCAAGTTTTAAAATCTTCATCGTCGCATTTAATGATAAATATCTTACCGTACGTGGGAGTCGAGTTGCTTTGCATGACGGGAGCGTACGGTTGGTCATGGTCTTCAGATTTGTAAGACCCGGAAATTCGCACCTGTCGGAAATAATTTTTGCATCACCTTCCGGTCATCAACATGCACAGCAATCAATTGCTAAAGCAGGTCTTATCTTACAGTTCCGTTGATTTCGATCTCAGAGAACCGCACTTGCGCCAAAGCTTTTCGGACACTTTTGTCACGAAAGGTTTGCACATTCCCAAGATCATTCACAGTAGTTTCACTTCCACAGTCCATAATTCGACTAGCAACAATCATGTCAGAAAATCCTTTGGAAGAAGTGATAGTGTGCGGTGTTAGATCGTTGCGAGGGACAAGGTTAGTCAATCGACTGTGGAGTGAACTTTTCTCTGAGTCCAGTGTGGAAGTCGTATCGTTCAGATTTTTTATCCACACCGGTCCAGACGCAAACACTTCCCCTGAAAAAAAATGAGTATCGCTATAGAATTCATTAAACCCATTGAGAAGGTGAAAGGACTAATTTGAGAGGAGACACATCCAATAAATTATACATTACAATATGCCATAGTTAACAGTCCTTGAAATAGATTAATCAGACGCAATCAGAGCCACCTTTAAGTGCTGTAAATAACTAAGTAGAATAGTATGGATATTAATTTCCATCAATCGAGCATAAATCGCAAAAACACGAGCTCGCATCTTATCTATTTTATTATTTTTTATGACTATACATGTTGAGTGGTCCCATCTGACGAACCTGAAAGCAAACAAAATAAATATTGGCTATAGAATGACCTTAAAATGTTTGACAAAAGGAGGGATACTGTATCTCAATACTGCCAATTTCCATCTTACAATTCAAGACAAGTTCTGATTTGAATATATCCTTGGAAGATTACTTGAATTATTTACTACGATTCAAGCATAGTAAACCCAATTAATTTGCGACTCAAGTTGACATCGAGACCCAGAATTCCAGAGATGCGCATTCTACTTGACAATATCTGCGCATATATTCATGTTTTAGGTTTCAACTTTCCGTGTAAGACTTCTGGTATGTATACTTCAAGGATGAAAAGTAAACATGAAAAAGCTATCCGTTTTTTGCATGGAATGACTGGATCTCTCTTTGAAAAATGCATGGCTCAAAGTGCACAAGCATCTTATAAAAATGTGAACACTGGTTTCATCTTTTTAGAAACATGCAATCCACAAAAACTAAGATAAACACTTTCTAAAATGATTGCTGTACATGCATTAAATTAGACAATTGATGAAATTGACAATTATTCAGAGAAGAGAGAGAAACGTATACGACTCCTCATCACTGAAATCTCGGTCTCATTTCAAAGGTTTAGAGTTTTAGACCGTGGAGCAATTAAATACAGAATTTGTAGCTTAAAAATAAAATGCGGTGCCAATCAATATCCAAGCAGCCAAGAAATTAGGTGTGGATAAATTTTTAAATACTGTATGTGAGGTCTTGTGCTTTTTTCAGCTTTTATATATTTTCGCCTTGGAATGGATGACCAAAATTCGGATGCTTGCAAATTTTCTACTTCTGTACTTCTCGAGCAACTTTAGCCTTGAAGAAACCAAATTATCGAGCCTCAATTTCGAGTTTTAGCAAGTGCAGTAATTTCGATTCGAAGTCAAATATATGCTTCAAGCTTTAAATGAGCGGCATCGCCTCTCTTCCATTCCGAAGCGTTAGTGACTAATAAATGGAACACAAATTCGTAATCTCATGATACCGTGCATAGCATGGTTCCTGCAATCAGAATTTCAAAATTCTCTGATTAATCATTGATTCTCACACGAGAAGTCCACGTGCTGATCAGCAAAGACGAGGCCATCTGGCGACAGAGGGCGAGAGTTTCCCAACGAGTCCTCGGACTGGATCAATCCGACGACGTTCGTGAATACTGCTTCATTGAATCCGACGGATGCATTGAAAACAAGCTCGGGCTGATTCCGAGACATAAAATTAGGATCAGCTCTCCCATTCAAATTGGACACAGTAGCAGCGGTGCACTCCAACAATCCTGACATCGTTAGTCGGGAATCAACGACACTCGGCTTTTTATCGACCCTGAAAAGAAATTTATTCCAGTATACTTGAGAGTACATACCGGTAACTTCGAAAAAGGAATAAATTTACTCACAGAATGTAATTCTTGGGGAAATTTGGCTTATCCGCGACTATCAGATCATCGATCACAGCGGACGTCGTGCTAGGCACACTGGTCGCGTTTTCGGCAGAATCTGAAAATCAAAATGAATATAATTATAGATGAATCTCTCTGAGTCGAATCTGAAGAGACTAGGGAGATTTTGAGCTGAGGAATATGGATGGCCTAATTTGCGTCAATTAATCACTTGAAAGCATGAACTCCAATAATTTTAGAAGTTCACCAGTAGATTTCCCACCTGCAGGAAGTTTCCACATACTTTACGTAAAGCATTGAAACAAAATTTGCATATGTTCCGGATCATTTTTCCAAAATTTAGCACAAGTTTCATAGCATAAGCGAGGCAGCAGAAAATTAACTGAGAGTGGTTAGAGCCAAGTTCTGCGTTAAGGAATAGGTTTGAACTGCATTGATGTTCAGAGGATTTGCCAATGATTAACTGGAAAATGTTGGTTGTTTTGGATTCCAAAGGCTGAAATTGGAAAGGTTTAACAGTAATTCTGTTGAAGATTTTACAGCACCCCAGAAAAACCTTTGAAAAACTGAGCATGTAGACATTCAGAGAAGTTAGCACAGCATTTTTGTAACCAGCGACTAATCCCATTGAATTTCATTTTTCTCCAAAATCAAGAAAGCGAATGCCTTCAAATTTGAAATCTATTCCCAATAACTGCCGTTTTTACTTTCTCTGATTTTTGGATGTCACGAAGAACTAAGGATCAATGGCACATGTAAAATACATCACACCTAGTTTCCGCTGAAGACCAGTTAATGCGTCGATCAGCTGCATGACTGTGGTTTGAAGATCCCTGGCTGTTTCGTTATCAAACCTCGAAATGTTCACATTGACTTGTGTCAAGCTTGAATCCCACTCTCCTTTAATCGACGTATTTTCGTGGACGTAAACGTTTTCTATAGTCGAGTTGGCGAGAATCTGCACAAGCTGGTCATCGGATTCCACGCAATCATCCTTGCCCTCCTCAAACTTGTTCAACTGATCAACCGCTCCGTTGAATCCATTCTGAGAAACATATACAGTATTTGGTTTGCACGAAAAATGGCGTTGGGATATTTCGTGGATGATTCTCTCACGTCCAAAGACTCCAATTTCGATCGCATTGCGTGGAAGCTGGCCAGTGCTGGGTTCGGTTGGTCTACTATGATGGCACGGACTTCGAAGAAAAGCACGGAATCTGTCCCAGGAACAATGGAATCCGCCGCCACTTCGGCGACGAGACCGTTGCTTGAAACGGTGAAAGTTCGGAAATCCATTTCGGAAATCTTGTCACAAGCAACTGTTGAGGAGATTCAGAAGCAAAAATTCAACCGGTAAATGTCACAGATTTAACCATTTTTCAAATTTAACAATAAAATGATTTCGCCACTTGAAGCTACAGTACACATCCCTGAACAGAGATGCTTACATGCAAGCCAGAGAAGTCGAATTCGCTGCTTTTTGTACGCAGCACAGATAATGCTTTAAATGTTTCCTATAAGTAAAATGCATGAAAATTCCAAGTGGCAACGAGAAAAAAATTTTCCAAGGGAAATTTTCAAGTTGGATCCAATTGAAATTTCTGCCGCAAAGTCAGGATATTTTCGAAAAATGTTGGGCCCAGCATGAGCGCTGCGAATAAATGCACCTAATTTTTGAACCAATGCCCAAGTTAGGAAAAATTCCTATTTTCGTTCATCCAACAGAAAATTTGCGCTTGAAAAAGATTTTAAATCCTCACAATTATGATTTTTTTCTGAAATTTTACGACCAGAAATCTAGGAGCGAGTCATATTTATTATAGGAGGCATTTCACGATTTCAGAAAATAAATGACTATGCCGTAGTGTTTTTACTTGAATACCAAAGGCATCTTTTATTCGAAGTCCAGAGGAGAGAAAGTGGTGTGCATTCCATTGTACTTGAGTTGACATTTTTCATACAAGTCTTACAAGCTTAGTTGAGCATTATACTTGATTCTACACTGGAAAATTCAAATCAAGTTGAACAGAAAATCTTAAATTAATGGTCAACCCCTGCACAAAGGACCTCACCTCCCACGCAATGGATTTTTGAACAATGGACTGCCCCTGGAGGCAGTTTCCCTCCTGCTCGATGGCCTAAATCCGCCTAGCAGACTTCTGTTGGTTTAAAATTAGTATATAGTTACAATTTTAATTTTTCTATAATTCAATTTTCATAATGAGACTTCTTGCACAACAGACTAATCTGTTGCAGGAATTAAGTCTTCAGTGTGGGGGTTGACTGTATAAGTGTGATAATAGTGGAAGCAGAGCACTTGTGTGTTTCGGAAAAGACCGTAAAAAGAGAACCTCTGACTCACTGGGTTGCGAATGTTCGTCAAAACAAGGCAGAGACGCCATATGTGCCCGTCGCAG